CCAGCTTCAGAGACTACTAGCTGTGTGACCCTGGGTGAGTCACTTAACCCTGTTTGCCTCAGTTTCCTCATCTGTAAAATGAGCTGGAGAAGGAAATAGCAAACCACTCCTGTATCTTTGCCAAGAAAATCCCAAATAGGGATTTTCATCAATTGGGGAATGGCTAAATGAGCTGTGGTATATGATTATAATGGAACATTATTATGCTCTAAGAAATGAGAAGCAGAATGATTTCAGAAAAATCTGGAAAAACTTACATGAACTGATGCAGGGTAAACAGAACCAGGAGAACATTGTACATAGTGACAACAATATTGTACAATGATCAACAGTGAATGTTGATCAGTAACAGCAATATTATGATCCAAGGTGATCTCAAGGGACTCATGATGAAAAATACTGCCTTCAGAGAAAGAACTGATGGTATCTGAATATAGACCAAAGCATACTATTTTCTCCTTTCTTTCCTTCTTTCACTTTTTTGGTTCAAGTTTTCTTCCACAAAATGATTAATATGGAAATATGTTTTATATCATTGCACATGTATAACATTTCAGATTATTTACTGTCACTAAAAGGGAAAAGGAAAGGAAGAGAAGGATAGCATTTGGAACTCAAAACTTTTTTTAAAATGTTAAAAATGTAATTTTTACATGTAATTGAAGGGAAAATAAAATATTTTAAAAAAGAAAGAAAACCTCAAATGTGGTCACAAATGAAAACAACTGAACATACAAATCCTGCTACTTCCCTCCTGACTCATCTCCTGTAGGTTAAATATACTGTTCTTTTGACTGTTGTTCATAAGATAGTTTCTAAATAGACCACTTCCACGTTCTGGTAACTATCTATGAGCTGGGGGAGAAAAAAAAAACATTTTGACTTGTAAGGCCCCAGCTTCCAAGGAAGTATGTATATTAAGGCTAATAAACCCAGAGATCTGACATAACCCTCCAGTCCAGCATCTTTTTTGCATGGCCCAGTTAAGAGTTAAGTTTCCTGAGTCCCAGATCCATCATTCTTCATTTCTTATTAGGCAATTCAGAACATACTCTCATCTCAATGGCCCACATTATCCCATTGCCTCCCCTTTTGGATGATGGGACAGTCTTCTATTAGTGCCATGCTGTCTCTTTGTCTAAACCTCTATATAAGTCTGGACCCTAAAGGGCTTTAGGTCTTCACATAGTGTGAACACTGTTACATGGCTGCTTGTCTGAAGCTGCCCCAACGGTGTCCTGCCCTTGGATTAAGGGCAATGGAGGTTGCACACTGAGATTGTCCCTCATTGTCATCTGTTTTCATCCTCTCCTTGTAAGCAGCAATCAAGTTTCCTTAACTGCTATCCCAGTGTGGAATCATTCTTCATTCAAACCACTCCTTTCATTTTTGCATTGTGCTATTCTCTGGATGAGCTCTGGTTCATTAACATTCTTCTTAAAATGTTGTGCCTAGAACTGAACACAATGCTCTCAAAATGTTCTTAATAGGGTCTTATTGTTATTGTTTAGTCATGTCCGACTCTTTATGACCCGATTTGGGGTTTTCTTGGCAAAGATACTAGAGTGGTTTGCCAGTTCCTTCTCCAGCTCATTTTATAAATGAGGAAACTGAGGCAAACAGGGTTAAGTGACTTGCCCAGGGTCATATAGCTTGTAAGTGTCTGAGGCTGGATTTGAACTCAGGTCTTCATGACCCTAGGTCCTTTCCTCTATCCACTGTGCCAGCTAGCTGCCCATCTCAATAGGGTACAATAAGATTAAGTTCATCTTTGATTTGGACACTATACTTCTATTAAGCCTGAGTTTTTTGAAAACAGCTTTTTTGAAAGTCAGGTTGACTCACATTGAGGTGCTTGTGATCACATAGAACCCCTAGATCTTTTTTTTCATTTTGTTTTTTAGGCAATTGGGGTTAAGCGACTTGCCCGGGGTCACATAGCTAGTAAGTGTCAAGTGTTTGGTCTGAGGCTGGATTTGAACTCAGGTCCTCCTGAGTCCAAGGCCAGCACTCTATCCACTGTGCCACCTAGCTGCCCCCCCTCCCAGATCTTTTTCACATGAGCTGTTATCAAGTCATTCCCTGCCTCTCTTTTCACCCCACACCGCCTGTATTTATGCAGTTGATTTGTTGGGATTATCTGTAGGACTTACACAAAACCCCATTAAATTTCATCTTATTGGTTTCATCCTCTCTGGCATGCTCCTCACACATACATGAAATTCCAAGACATGAAATACGGATATGGCTACTGCCCAAGATACCTTATAATGTTTTAGGACACAAGGACTTAAAGTCCTGATTGACCAAGTCTCTACCCAATTTCAATTAACTGCATTACAGCTATCAATAATAATAATAGGTCAGTTAGGTGACTCAGCGGATAGGGTGATAGACCTGCAGTCAGAAAGATTCATCTTGCTGAGTTCAAATCTGGCCTCAGAAGCTTACTAGCTGTGTGACCCTGGCTGGACAAGAGTATCCTCAATGATCTGGAGAAGGAAATGGCAAACCACTCCAGTATCTTTGCCCAAGAAAACTCCAAAATGGGCTCACGGAGAGTTGGACACAACTGAAACAACTAAATAATAACAATCAATAATAGTAGCTTGCACTAATATGAGGCTTTAAGGTTTTGCAAAGTTTTAGATATGTATGCATGTATACACATATTTATATGTACATATGTTTGCAAATGCATATGTACATATGTGTGTGTTTTTCCATGAGCACTGGAAGCGTTACAGCCAGGTACGTAATGATGACTCCCTGAGATATCAGGAACAGGGTGAAATATCAGTAAGTAATGTCTGTTACAGTGAGCCAGGGAGTCTAATAAACCTATGATCTGAACACTCCTCTCTGGCCCCAACTTTCAGTGATTGTGGACATGCCACTTCTAGTTTTTAGATCATTGGCTCCCTCCCTGTGATGTGAGAAAAATCCCTTCTTTTCAGCAAAGTTATGAGCACAAAGAAATACACAACTGCATTAGATACACACCATTTCTTTCACATAGGCAAGCTGGAAATTCAATCTACATAGCCAAAACTACCCTCCCAAGCCACCCAAGCCACCACTACCTCGGAGGTCAAAGAGGACCCTGAATCACCAAAACATAGGCTGTGAGTGTAAAGTCATGCAATGGTTGCTACAAAGCAGGAGTGAGAGAATTCAATTATCCTCTGCCCCAAAGAGGGGACAAAGGAAGCTCATAGGACCTCATTCTAGAAGGATCCTTTACGGTCATCTAGTTGAACCTCATCATTTGACAGAAGAGGAAGCCAAGGCCCAGGGAAGTTAAGTGAATTGCCCAAGGTCACAAGGTCCTAAGTAGCAGAGCCAAGATTTGAAATTGAAATCCACTGGCTTCAGTTGAGAGGCAGCTGGTGGATAGAACTCTGGGTCTGAAGTCAGGAAGACTTGAGTTCAAATATGGCCTGAGGAACCCTGGGCAAGTCACTTAACCTCTCTTTGTCTCAATTTTCTCAATTGTAAAATGGGGATAATAACATCAGCTACCTCACAGGGATATTAAAAGGATCATATGAGGTAATATTTATAAAAAGGGCCTAGCACAGTACTTGGTACATAGTAAGCACTTAATAAATGTTTATTCCCTTCCCCACTTCATTTCTCTCTGCTTCAAGCTACTTATATAGTTTTAATCACCTCACTGGAACTCAGCCTACAGTATACTCCTGGGCATGCTCCTAAGGCCCTTACTTTGAACCTAAATACCCTTACTTTCCACATAGTTCTAATAAACTGATTATCTGATTCCCATTTCAGAGTACAAAGAGTACAAAGGTGGGGCGTGGGGAGAGGGGATAGAGTGTGTAGTAACAATTGACAGCCAGGAAAAAGATAAAAAAAATTGTAAAAGTAGACCTAGGAACTCAAAAAGCACAGCAGTCTAGGACCATTTAGTATAGGGACAAAGGGTCAAGATATATATAGATATGTATACATATATACATATATGGATATACTTCTAGATATTTCTATATAAACATATGTGTGGATATATGTATACTTCTCTCTCTCTATATATACACACTTCTGTATATATGAGTATGTATATAATATGTATCCATAAACATAGACATACATATTGCAATGCGCCCTAGAAGCCTTATGTTGACTTCCTGGGTTGTCAGGAAAAGGTTAAATTACAATGAATAAGATCCTCCTCCTAAGCCTCACTGTGTTATGGAGGGGACCCTGGGTCCTGAAGGCTCTGCCAATACTTTCAGATTTTTCCAAACGAGAAAGGTTTTCAGTATGGGGTTAGCAACTAACTGGATGCTTGCTGTCCAAGAATAAGCATAAGTTTAGAGATGTTCTTCACCACGCTTGCCAAGGCGGAGATGAATTTTGCAACCACATTAGCTCTCCAGTGACTGTCTACCAAGGTGTCAGAGGGTTGCTATCTGCAGTAGTGGAGGACTCAAAGGTTCTTGAAGGAAATGAATCAGAGAGAGTTTGGAGATGTTCATCACCAAGTTGACTGAAGAGAGATGATTTTTTTTATCTGTAGCAGTTTTTCAAGGACTGCTACCAAGGTACAAAGCAGGGACCCACAGGTCCTCCCGAAGGACTGAAACAGAGTCATATAATATGAGAGGTGTGTGACACAATTGAGAAGAAAGAACTTCCCAAACGGTTAAAAATAAGTGTTGGTGTTTTTAAAGGGGGGAGGGGAATAAATTATTTAGAAAGTTCGTGACCACGGACCCAACCTTCCCTGGTAATAATGAGATAAACAAGACATCACAGTTAACTGTTAATATTATTCTGCATCTTCCCCCCCAAGCTCCAGGGGACAAGCTACTATTTCTGTGTCAGGAAGATGAGGCAGGGAAGACATTGGATAGGAATTTAAAGATGTTGTTGTTTGGTGGTTTTTTGGTTTGTTTTTTCCCAGCACAGCTCTGAGTTCTTAGTAATTATGGCTCTGCCACTCCGGCCCTCATCAGGATAGCTCAGTCCAGACCAGGTCAGTTCCCTGAAATCTTCTTTGCAGATCCCTGAACCTCATGACTCCCAGTCTTTACCAACACATGTTCCAGCCATCGGCAGTGCTCCCGCAGCTGCTTCTCCCTGGGGAGCAGGAAGGTGAGGACCTTATTCCGCACGATGCCCCGGTCCTCCTCCTCGCGCAATCGCTGCTTCACCCTCGCCGCCTGCTCTTCCTGCTGGGCCAGAGTCCTGCTCATCTCGCAGTAGGCATTCTCGAGTCGGTGAATGGCCTGCAGTGTCTCCTGTTTGAAATCCTCCAGGTCCCTCTGGACCCCGGTCACTTTTTGCAGCAGGTTCTCCATTTCAGGTTGCGGGGGGAGACATGGGGACAGAGACTCGGGCAGGGAAAAGTCTCCCGACTGCAGACCGCTTTCAACCATTTTCTTTCCTTGCAGGGTGTTCACCTTCACATAAATGGGGCCCGTCTGGTAGAAAGGATCCATGTCGTTTTCTTCACCAACCGGTCCACGGTTAGATACTGACCAAAAAACAAACTTAGGAGAGAACAGAAATTAAGGCAAGTGGGTCAGAATGAATCCCGGCCGCAATTCCATTCTCTTCACTCTTCAGGAAAGGAAGATTGAAAGAACCTGCCAATTGTGACGTCACGGTCACTCCAGCCAATCTTAATGTGGTCTACACATTCATCCTATTTGCATACCCCAGCCTCATTGGTCAAAGCCTGGGGAGCGAGGGGAGAGAAAGCTCTGATACTCCCTGGATGCCAAGACACATCTCCAGTGGCTTTCACTTAGGTCATTTTACTAAGTTTTCCATGCAGTCAGAAGTTCTTTTCTCCCCATTGTAGAGATGAAGAAACTGAGACATGACTATTAGCGGAGTCCATGATCACTACCAGCCTATGGATTAGTTATATAAAATGTACATTAGAAGGCAACATTGAACGGATGAGTCTTCCAGCCCCTGAAACTAGACCTAATTAAACTACTTCAGGTCCCTTTGCAACCCTGTCTCTTTTCAATTACAGGTTCTTCAAGTCAGATTATAGGGGAAGGCGAAGGGAAAAGAGTCTCTAGTATGGGAAAGTCTTCTGACTGTAAACAGGTCTGGATCATTTTCTTTCCTTGCAAGGTGTTCACCTTCGTGGACATGGGGTCTCTGTTGTTTTCATCACTAACTGATCCATGACTTGGGGCAAACCAAGGAAGATGTGGAGTTGTAAATGGGATCTGGTTGGTATAAGGAATCCATGTTATTTTCTTCACCAGCTGGTCCAAGACTGGGGACAACTAAAGCAACACGCTGAGGAGGGAAGGGAAATTGAGGTTGTTAGAATAAACTGCTCCCTCAGTCTAGTCCTATTACTCTATACTATGACAGGAAACATAGGAGGAATAAGCCTGCCAATTGTGACATCAGGGGTACTCCAGCCAATCTTGATATAGTCTTTGAAGTTATTTGCATACCCCAGTCTCATTGGTCAAAATCCTGGGGGGAAAAAAAGTCCCCACTGTGTCTTGGGGCCAAAACCACATCTCCAGAGGCTTTGAGATAAGTCATTTTGCTACTCCTCCCAAGCAGACAGAAGCTCTATTTTTCTTCTTGAGATAAGGAAACTGAGGCCCAGAATGAAAAAGTTGGCTTTGCTATATAGCAAAGGGAAGGCTCATTAGCAGCCTGAAGATGAGCTATTTTTCATATGTAACACATTATCTCTGGGCTCACTCTCCTAATCTCAACTTCCAGGGACAAGTCAATCTCCAGAGTTCAGCTACTATAATTCTCCCCTCTGGGTTAATCTAAGGGTGACCCTGAGGGGTTGTGGATATCTTTCTAATACTGTTATTCTCTATATTACTCTAATACTGCTCACAACCCCTGACTGTTAGGTTCCCTCAATATTGATCACCCCAATATCATTTTTGACTAAATGAATTCTCAGTAGCAATTAACCAATTTATATAAATTAGCTTTTATAAAGGGATATTTGCTGAATAAATATAGCAAGGACAAAAGTAGAAACAAATCCTGTCCCATCAACCAGGGCACACTGTCTCCCTTAAACATTCTCTTGGTTGTTGGGAGAGTGGATCCGGAAACTAAAGTGGTTACTAAAAAGAATTCGCCCTACTTTTGTGTATGGCATAGCAGATGAATGAGTCACTTCCTCACTTGCAGAACATGGTGTCTCAGGTACCCAGTTGATCCATGGCTGGGCTAGGTCACTCCTTAAGGCTGGCTCCTCACCAGAACTTGCTGCCATGGCCATGGGCAGACTTTGCTATGGAATCAAGTTGGGGATCTCTGGTAGTTCTTCAGAATTTGATGCTCACAGGGCCATAACTTGATCCATTCCATCTCCAATATTCATTCAGCCAAGATCAAGAAAGGATAAAGCAGAGACAGCTAACCAAGAGCTCCATGCATATGGATGAAGGAAGGAGAGGAAGAAAGAAAAGAAAGAGAGAGAGAGAGAAAGGAAGGAAGGAAGGAAGAAAGAAAGGAAGAAAGAGAGAAAGAAAGAAAGAAAGAAAGAAGGAAGGAAAGAAAGAAAGAAAGGAATGAAGGAAGGAAGGAAGGAAGGAAGGAAGGAAGGGAGGGAGGGAGGAAGGAAGGAAAAAGAAAGAGGAAGGGAGGAAGGAAGGAAGGGAGGGAGGAAGGAAGGAAAGGAAAATTTATAAAGTACTTACTATGTACAAAGCCAAGCGCTGTGCTAAGTACTGAGGATACAAATAGAAAAATAAGACAGTCTCTGATCTCAAGGAGCCTATATTCTTAAAGGGGCAGACAACACACACGAAAATTTTCTGCTGCGAGTCAAATGGAAAGGTCCCATGGTCCTTAGGGTACCTCAACAAAGCAGATGGTGATGCCTCTTCTTTAATATCACTTCTACTGAGAAAATCCTCTTTGTTTCTGATGTTGAACCATTTGACAGTGCCAAGGGCTTCAGTGGCAAGAACCTGTTTTTCAGAGTCCTCAGTAGCTGGAACCAGAATGAGCTTTGGGAGGGAGCCTTGGAGCTAAGCTTTGAGGAAAGCCCAGGATTCTGGGAGGCTGCACTGTGTGGGGAGTAGATCCAACACATTGAGGTGGGGGTGGGGGGCAGCCTGAGCAAAGACATGATGTTTCAAGATGGAATCTCTTGTACCTGGGACAGCAAGTAGGCCTGTGTGGCTGGAGTATAGAGTGTGTGAAGAAGAGTATACAGTCAACCTGAAAGGATGTCTGGAATCAGATTATGAAGGCCTTTAGAAGTCAAACAGAGGAGATTGTATTTTATAGCAGCAACAGGGACCTCTCCTGAGTCTCTTGAGCAGGGGGCTTATGGTCAACCCTGTGCATTAGGAAAATTACTTTGGCACTTCTTCGGAAGATGAATTAGAGATGTGAGAGACTGGAGACAGGAAAACCAATTAGGAGACAACTGCAACAGTCCAGGGAAGAGGTGGTGAGGTCCTGAACTAAAGTGGTGATTGTGTGTATGGGAAGAGGGGGTCAGAAGAGAGGGACATTGTAGAAATGTACAAATGATAAGAGATATCTTGGAAGTAGAATCCGTAAGTCTTGGCAAATCCATAAGTTTGGACACAAGGAGGGTGAGAGTGACAAGTTGAGGTTGGAACCTGGGTGAATGGAAAGATGGTGGTACCTTACACAGAAATAAGGAAGTTAGGAAGCAAGGAAGGTTTTGGGGAAAACATAATGGGCTTTGTTTCAGACATGTTGAGTTTGATTTGCCTTATGGAATATCTAGTTGGAAATATCCAGTAGACAGTTGGTGAGGGAGCTTAGTTGAGAGTCTAAAACTGCTCTATAAATCTAGGAATCATCTTTATCGAGGTCAATAATTGAACCACGGGTACTAACAAGATCACCAGGTGAAAGAAGGATAAAGAGAAAGAATGACCTAAGACAGAAGTCATTTATAGTGAGTAGAATGTGAATGATGACTCTGCAAAGGAGAATGAGAAGGAGAAACCAGGGAAGTAAGAAAAACACGTGAGCGCAGGACCATGAAAGCTCAGTAGGAGAGGTTGTCTAGGTCTGGGGGTGGGGGGTGGCCAACAGGGACAAATACCACAGAGAAGTTAAAAAAAAAAAAAGATGAGGATTGAGAAAAGACCAGATTTGGCCATTAAGAGATCACTGGTAACTTTGGAAGGAGTTTCAGTTGAATGATGAAGTGGGAAGGCAAGTACAAGGAGCTGAGGAGGATGTGGGAAGTGAGAAAGTGGAGGCAATGAGTATTTCTAGGTATTTGGCTGTGAAAAAAGAAAGAACAGCACTTTATGGGGGGAGAGGATCAATCGTAAGTTTTATCTGCATATGTTTTTAAGTGTTAGGGAAGGAGCCATTGAATAGAGTTTCAAAATTAAGGAGAGAGGAGGGCTGATCAAAGGAGTAAAAGGAGGGATAGGATCAAGGGCCAAAGCAAAGGAATTAGCCTTGGTAAGCAGGACCACTTGTTTAGTCGATTAGTCATGTCAGACTCTTCATTGTAGCCCCATTTGGGATTTTCTTGGCAGACATAATGGGGTGGTTTGCATTTTCTTCTCCAAATCATTTTACATATGAGGAAACTGAGGCAAACAGGGGTAAGTGACTTGTCCAGGGTCACACAGCTATTAAGAGTCCAGTTTAATGAAAGGCATGCTAACATAGGAGGGAGATTTGGATTCTAGGACCTATCTCTGCCACAAACTAGTTGTGTGAACTTGGGCAAGTCACTGGTCTCTCTCAGGCTCTCTGCTTTCCAGTCTCCTCATCAGTAAGATGAAAAAGTTAGACTGAATGACCTCTGAGGTCCCTTCCAGCTCTCTGTAAAATTCTAATCTCCATTTCAATCCTGCTCACTCACTGTAAACTGTAGCAACTCTATCTGCATCCCTTTGCTTTCTCGCTGACTGCAGCGCCACCTCCTGGTAAAAGGAGAAATAGCTCTTATGTCGAACAACATATTATAGAGCACATGGGCTTACAGGGTCCTCAATTAGTGTGCTTTCTTTATTTCTCTTACTGCAGAACTCACAAATGAATTTTAATGTCCTATTACACGTTGTCCGTTCATTCATTCATTTAACAACCATTTACAAGGTACCTACAATAGGCAGTGTCGGGAATGTAACAAGGGGTGAGATACACATTTCCTGCCCTCGAGGAGTTTCAAGTCTAGGAAGAAAAAGCATGCAGGGACACCAATAACACACCAACACGGTAGGATGTTTTAGGTGCCATTAAAAAAATGGAAGAGGAAAATGCTGGGGGGAGGAGGGGCTCAGAGGAAGAACCTTTTTTTCTTCTTAGGAGTCAACAGATATTACTCTTGGCATCTTCAAAATAGGTTAGAAAATCAACAAGAATACAAATTTAGAGCTAAAAGATATAATAGCTGTCCTCTAGTCCACTGGTTCTCAAACTTTCTGGTCTTCCTTTATATTCTTCGATGTTATTGAAGGTACCCAGCCCCAAAGAGCTTTTGTTTATGATTTAT